TGAAGTTGGCCTCAGGGCCAACTCCTCAACTCTTCCACCACGGTGCCTCCCGCTAAAATGACATTGTCCGGGTCGTTGGTGCCAATGAAGTCAAGGCACTCTTGTAGGAGCCTCCCATGACTATGCTCTTCTTGGTCCTCTCAATCTGTCTCTGATCCTTAACCATCTAGGCTAGCTCCATCATCTCCCACAACCTCCTCAGCCTCAACAATCAGAGGTCTACCCGTATGTCGAGTTTTATCCCATTCATGAAATTTTCTTCCAACACCGCCTCCAAAATCCCCCTCAACCGTCCCAACAACAACTCAAATCTCTCCATATACTCCATGATTGTCCCCTCCTGAGTTAAGGCAAAGAATTGCTCGTGTAGGCCTCTTTCCTGAATGGCTCGGAAACACTCCAACAAGCAATCCTTAAACTCAGGAGCCCTAAGAGGTGGCTATTGATGAAAGAAACTCTACTCATCGAACTCCTACTGTCCAATCTCCTTTCCCTTAGATTCGACAAAGGGAGTCCTGATCAAATCTTTGTTAGGGTTAGTAACCGGAACCGCTAGTGGAGTTTTGATTTGTATCACCATGAGCTTCCTCGTCATCTCCTCTAACCCTCCAAATCGTCTCTACATCCGATTCTCCATGACTAAAACCTTCCTTTGATGGTTGAGAACTTCTCCTCCATCCCGAATTTGATTTGATCCATTTCGCCTTCCAATGCATCCACCTTCTTTGCTGTCATCTCTCCAAAATGTCATTCTAATACAAATCTAATGCAACGTGGAAGCAAAGACAACAAAATTGATAAGAAGAAAATGCAGGGACGCAAATATGGGGGTTGATTTTTATCAATCGAACAATAACAAAAGATACAATTGATCTATTATTCGAGAGGCAGATCGACTCTACCATAAACCCAAGCAGCCACTAGGAAACATACACCAAAAGAGGAAAAATAAACTTAGCACCCATAAGATGAAAATCCTAGACAAAACTCCCCCTTAAATAGCCATAACACACAATAAACACAATTAAATCTTCCTAAACATCTTCCCCTTGTTTCCTCCTCCTTACATAATGAATAATAACTCCCTTGGGCCCCACAAGGAGGGCTAAAATTCCCCCTTCTGTTGCCCCTGATTTCGCCCAGACAAATGGTTAGGCCGGCCTGCTGGGCCCCCTGGTATATCACATTACTACACTATTTCTCAAGTTTATCTTTTGAAATTTCGCATATATCATTCACTAAATTATTTCCATCATCTAAGAATGTTGGGACTAAAGACCTGACTCCAACTAAAGTTTAAGCAAAAAACAAACTAGGTCAGGTTGGATCCATAAATGCAATTAAAGGTCATCCTCCCTATAATTAATCAAGAGGCTAGAGCAAAAGCTTTGCACCTCAAAATTAAGAAGGTCGAGTACAATAAAGTAGTAATCCAACTTGAAATCTATTGTGACCAACTTTATTTTAGAAATATTTCTCTCTTACTGACTATTTGAATATGAATCATGCTATATTTCATGATATTTGTTACTCACGATTGTTTTTAAACCTTTTTAAAATAAGCTAAATTATATGACCTCAAAAATGTGCACTGATCCTTTGCATAGGAATATTTTCTCAAATGCAATTGCCGAGTGCTCTTAAAAGTAAACAGGACAAATCAATCAGAACAGCCAAATAAATCTAACACTCTTTTAGTAGCTCCAGCCAAATGTTACAAAAAAAAAAAAGAGTTTAACAATATACATTGTGTTTCATCTTAGTACACAGAATCAATCAGTTGAGCAATTAGTTTTCTCCAGTAAAAATATTTGTTGGGCAGGTCTAGCAAACAAGCTAGCATTGATGTTAAACAAATATGCATAAATTTTATACATCTCTACTGTATGTACCCGTCTACTGTATGTACCTTCCAGGCTGCCATGGTGGACATGTATTATGTAATGCATTCATAAACATCAATACCACTACGGCATGAACATTCGTTTCTCCTCAATGATTTGGTGGTTGGAGTCGTTGCTCGTTGGTTCTCCACGTTTATTAGTGGTTCTCTTCACTCTTCACACATTAGTTTTTTTTATAAACTTCTTTCTGGTTCATGTTGCTGACTCTAGTAATTTCTCATTCACAAGCTTTTGATCCTCAGTATATCCTCTGCATGATTATTGGTGTCTCATATTCAAACTCCATCCTGAGTCACATTGACTCCGCACCCACGGCTTCTAAATAGCCTCTTAATCTCATGAATAATCTTGATTATTAACTTTTCTTTCATCATTCCATTCCTTAATCTTCATTCTTTTTTTTTTTAATTTTCGAATAGAAAGAAAATATTATTGTTGAATGTATCATTATATATGTTGAAGTTATTCTCAGATAATGTTTAAGTTTGGTTAGTTAAAAAATTATTGTATACACAAAATATAAGTATTATATATACAAGTCATGAGTGCTCCGGTCAATAAAAATGTCGCTTAGCTTCTCATTTTGCATATTGAACCAAAAAGGAACCCTTGCAAATCGCATAGTTCTTAGCATTTTGAAAAACAATGATCTAATGTTATATAATATCTTGAAGAGCCAATATTTTCTCTTTAAGTTCGTTTGGGATGCTTGTTCATCTTCCCTTCAGAAAATAACCTCCATTCATGCTACCTCTTCAATGTGATTAAGTTTTGACACTTATTTAATTCTTACCATATTTGCTACATTCATGGAAATATACTCACTATAATGTAGAATTAAGGCTACATGCATAAATCCTTTCTAAACCTTTAGAGCCCTCCATACATGCTAACTCACAATCTCCCTTCAACATGATTAAGTTTTGACACTTGTCCATTAATCTTACTATATTTGTTACATTTATGGAAATAAACTCTCTATAATGTTGAGCTAATATTGCATAGATAAATCCTTTCTAAACCCCACATCAGTGGGAAACCTCGTGCAAAGGGTACACCGTTTTACAGTAGCCATTAAACTATTCCAACACCTAAATTCCAACGCAAATGACCCTAGAACGTTTTCATCCTCAAATCCAACATCTTAATGTTGATACTTGATACGTTGAAAGTTTTGTACAAACAAAATTGAAGGTGCTCAAAAGATACCAATTTTTGCTTAAAACTCCCAACCATAATCACGATTTCCATAGGTAGCAATAAATAGCTAATCAAAAGGGAACACAAATATTGCTCAACTTTTCTTTCCATGACAGTAATGCTCATGAAAAGAGGATAAACTTTGAATACAGTGACAAACCACTTCATTAAAGTGTGATATCTAAAAACCAAGCTTTATAGTATAGATGTAGTAAGCAAAATTTTGAGATCCAATATTATGGATTTGATTGTCATTTGACAATCCAAATTTGCATGTAACTCACCAATAAACTGCATGAGTACTCTTATCCAATGTTTTCATATTTATAGAAAATCAGATGGGAGTCCAAGGGAAAATAAGATTCATACACCAACACTCTAAAAACAAGCTAGATTGACAACATTAGAAAAAACAAATCTCTTAATCAGGATTATGGGTTGTCAACTCTCAAAAGCCTCAAGTCTTTCCCAGATTCTATAAACAGTTAATTGTAATAATAAGAGAAAAAAAAAAAGAGAATAGAAAAGTTCACACGCTACAGCTGTATCATGCTAAAAGGAATCTTGATAAACCAATCCAAGCAAGGGCGGAGCTCAGGGTAATTAAGGGTCTATAACTGCTGATCATCAAAAGTAAATTCTCTTTAATATCATAAGGGCTTTTGGTAATCCCCACACTCATTCAATTAAATTTCCCTTCAAACTTCACTTCAAGCATGAATGCTCAGCACTCAGCTCTCTCTATCTATGCCTGATGTCAATACACTCACTTCTATCATTCTCTCCCAATTCTGATGACTGACTATCACACATATCTCCCTCTCTCCCACAAACTCACTCCCGTCTTCCCTACCTTACACCGATACCGATGCTCGCACGTCTCTCCCTCTCTCCCAACTCCAACGGCCAACACACACACATCTCTCTCCCTCTCTCCCGACGAAGGTAACGCCTGCACAACTCTCCCAACTCTGACAGTTAACGCCCACACATCTCCATCTCTCCCTCTCTTCTAACGCCGACCGTCGATTTAAGGTAAAATTTCTTTTCTTTTAAAAAAAAATGGTCTCTTTAATTTTATCAATTTAATGATTTGATCCCAGAAATATAAATAAGAATACATAGATGTTGTAGTGAAATGGTAGGCATTCTTTTGTTCAATTTCAAGTTGATGCATCAGTTCAATATAAATTTATACCCATAGTTTGTTGGGGTAGTCAAAAAATTTGAAGAAGAAACAAACAAGCTAATGCGCGCTACTTTCTTCATGGTGTGCATTTAGGAACATAATTATAGATTTCTATATGCTTAGAAAATCTGTATCAGTTCCAGCAAATACATTTGAGGCTCCATGTTTTTTGCATGTGGCAAGAGGTCAGTGTGCGGACAGACGCGATTATTTAATTATGGTTCATTTTATATGTTCAATTTGACGTGTACTAAGTAAAGCACTCCAAATCTCCCAAAAATATACTCGGCCGATGATGTGCCTTGATTTTTTATAGTTGTTTGCCAATGCTCGCATTTACTTGTTGTCCCGAAACATCGATGCATGGTAGAATCGGTGTTATAAATATGAAATGCTAGACTTTTGCTTGTAATTATGTATTAGCATTTACTTTTCTTCAATATTATTTAAATTTGCTCATCCTTTTTTAGGAGGATAGTTCGATCCAGTGCATGGATGGAATGCATGAAAGGTTTACATTGGAAACAAACGAAGCCAAAGCCCAATAACAAGAATTAAAATTCCGATCAAATCATCCACAAGAGAAACCCGCAGATCAAACCGCGCAGTAGTCCACACCAGATCTGATCAGATTCGATCATACGCCGGAACAGCAATTTGCAGAAACACGCAAAGGAAGAATCGAAAAGACAAAGCACACGATATACCTGCGGGAAATTATCGCTCTGAGCCCAGACACTGCCGTCGTGGCCGATGATGGCGGCGGCCGTCAGATGTTGGCCGTCGATCTCACACAACAAATGATCGTCGACATACGCCTGCCACGACATCTTCTATCGCGGTTTCTGTGGCGGTCTTCTCCCTCGCTCTCTCGCTCTTTCGCTAAAAATCGCGTGACGGGCTTTTCACTATTGCTTCCGGCTGAAAGAATAATAAATAGAGAAATGGCGACAGCGGAAGGACGAATCTTGATGCGGTAGGGCTGGATGGCACCTGCGCGGGTTAACTCTATTGTATAATATCATTCGCGTCCGGGTCTTTTTTTTTGGTTAATTTTGTGGGTGTGGCAGTTTAAATCGGCCGAAAATGTTAGAAGAGGGCCACTTGTTATTTACCGGACTGTCAACGTGTATGTTTGCCGACGCCGGATTAGCCGGAAGAAATATTTCTCATATTTGTATAAAGCACATTTATTAGTTTTTAATAATTTAGTTTGTCAAATTGTAACTTTTCCCAAGAGTATAAAGTATTTTTAACTCTATTATCAAGTTGTTATAATTTTTTTAGATGTTATTCTCCAAAGTCAATCAAAAGATGTTAAGTCTTTGTTGAAGTCGTCCCAAACGAAGCCTAAGTCTCCCAAGACCAAAAAACCGGCCAACCCCAAGACCCAATGGAAAACCTATTTGCCTCCTGAATTATTAGAGGCTTTAATGGTCATGATAGGGTTATTAACCGTCAACCATTGTTTTTTCTTTTAATAAGGACCTGTTTTGTATCCTTGAAGCAAAAATAAAACCACAGCGAGTTTTTAACCCTTGATTTTGCAATAACCACATTATCTTCAATGATGAAGGAAACCATAACAACTTTCACCTCTCCCAACCTAGGAGAATTTGGATTCAATGGAAAAAAGGCACCACATCCTTTAAACTCATCACTACAAACACTCAATTTATTCATGGCCAAGTCAGTTGTGGCATCGGTCCCCTATATTCATCAATGTTGGTTATGCCTCTACTTATCTGATATAAAGAGAGCATCTTTGGAATAAGATCATATTCATTGGCTCATTAGCAAATCACCCTTGGATTGTTATGGAAGACTTTAACTGTTGTAGATTCATTGCTGAAAAAGTGGGGGGCAATCCTCTTTCCCCTGGGAAGCTCTGGGAGCTTAATAACTTGGTGTTTGAAATGGGATTCATGACATATCCTTAGTTGAACATAATTTCACCTTGACAAATAATAGAACCTACTGTCTCATTCATATAAAACTTGACATAACCCTTTTCAATGAGGCTTGGCTGGATGTCTTCCCCCTTTCTTACTACAAAGTTGAGACTTTTGGTTGCTTCGACCATAGTCCTGTGATTATTTAAACCCATGCTCCTCAGCTTATCAAACATATGTTTTTTCAAGAATTTTTTGCTTAAATTCAACTAGTTTTGAGAGGTCCTTGCTTCATCTCTCACGACTCATACCTAAGGGGAACCTATTTGTTCCTTTTATGCCAAGCTAAAACATTTAAAAAAGGGCATTAAAACCAAATCCTCAGCTTCTTCCAACAACATTACTATTGCCATTCATAAGCTTGAAGCTCTCCAAACTTATTGCCTTGATGCATTACTCTATGATCTCCTAAACCCTCCCTTAAATATTGCTGCTAAAAATATTAAAAACTTATTGGATTTCCACTATGATAATTGGGCCTGCTGGATTGTTCAAAGAGCCAAAACTAAATGGCTCTCCAATATTGAAGAGGACCTTAAATTTCTCTATGATAAGATCAAAGGTAGAAAGAACCGCAATTGTTTCAAAAAACAATTTCCATACATTCAAGTACTTACACTCTTCAAAGTGACATTGTCCAAGCTACCATTTCCCATTCCAAAGCTCTTTTCAACACGAGCATCCCTCTAACCCCCAACCCCCCTCTTATGCCTCCTAGAAACATGGTTCCCACACATCTTCTTCCTAATCTCATTGCTCTTATCACTGAATATGAAATTAAAGTTGTTGTGTTTGTTGCCCCAAAGAATGTGACCCCTAGTCTTGATGGATTATTCTTTGAGATTTATGTTGCTATATGGGATATCATCAAAGATACGCTTTATCAAGCCATCAAATATTTATTTTCAGCATGTACTCTCCCCATAAATGTCAAAGCCACAATTATAGCCCTCGTCTCGAAAACTAAGCATGCTAACTCGCTTTCATATTATAGGCCTATATCACTTTGCAATTTATTTTATAAAATTATTGCAAAATCCTTTCTTCAAGGCTTAAAAGCATCATGCCTTTTATTATTCATGAGAACTAATTTTGCTTCATTCAAATAGAATATTTATGGACAATTTCATTCTTGCTAATGAAATTATGAAGGAGCTTACTTTCAAAAATCATAAGAATTGTTTTTGTGCTAAACTTGATATCTACAAGGCATTTGAGATTGTCTACCATGACTTCATCATTAATATTAAATTGTGCTCACACACATTCATTATGTTGGTTAAAGCCTATATTTCTGATATTAATTTCTCTATCTATTTAAATTGTGCTCTAGAAAGCTTCTTCTCTTCCTCCTTTAGTTTAAGGCAAGGCTGCTCCCTTTCACCTCACCTATGTAATGAATGTTTAATCAAATCTCTTTGACAGTCATATCTCGAGTAACACTTACTGAGGCATGCCTCTAGAGAGCGTATTATCTCCCACCTCCTTTATACGGACGATTTACCTGTGTTTGACAAGGCTAACTGTGATAAGATTATTGCCCCTAAGAGTATTCTCGACTTATTATACTTTGTTGCTCGCCTGAAAAATAATACTTCCAAAAGTGTCATTTACTTCCTCATTACAAACTCCTTCCATAGGGTTCTTAGTAGCATTCTCAATATTCCTATTGGCAATTGTGTTATTACCTATTATGGGGTCCCAATCTCTTTTAGAAGGCTTTAAACAATTGATTTTCAACATCTTCTCAATAAAGTCATTTCTCTTTTTGAAGTTTGGAAAGCTAGAGCCTCTCCTTTGCTCGTCGTGTGTAATTTTTAAAATATAGCATATGTAGTACTATTGCTTACTAGATTAGGGGAGTCATTTTACCTAAAACTTGCTTGAAATTTCTCAAAATGCTTTGTGGTTGTTTCTTATATAATGTTGATATCAAAGTTAAAAAGAAAACCATGTCTTATCTCTTGGAATGATACTTGTATGCCCAAATAGTTTGATGGCCTAGGTATCCCATCTTCTTAATGTCTTATCTCAAGCATACAACTGTTCTCTCATTTGGAGGTTTTTAGTATCGAATGGCTTGCTCCCAAGTTGGTGAAAATTTAAATAGTTATGCTTATGGAAACCACTTTGCGGGAAGGTTTCTAAATTTTGAAACAACTTCATAATGTTCATGCTAGTTTTAAGCATTATATTTCTCTTGGTATTTCTTCCACTAGTAGACTTTCTTTTTTTGAGACTACTAGTGTGAAGGGAAAGTTATTAATGAAATATGGGATCTCTGCTCTCTCTTTCCTTTTTTTCTCATCTAAGATTTATATGAATTCTCTTATCCACAATGACAGATGGAACCTTTCTTCCCCCTTGCCTTCTCAACTTTGTAACATTATTGCAAAGACCCTTATTCTCCTTGATGATACTGCATCCTGTCATTGGATAAGTTATAAAAATCCTTTGCTTAAGGTGTTCACCAATTCATGCTATGATGTCCTCTCCACTATCAGTTGGTATAAATTCATATGGCACAAAAATTCATGCCAATCATTTTTCTACTTTCAAATCACTCTAGACTATGAAAGGTTTAAAAACTACTAATGCTCGTTTATTGAGAGAAATTAGAGTGGATCTTATTTTCTCTTAATGATTCAAAATTTGTTATTCATCGTTTTTTTAATGAGTGTATTTTCTTTTCTATTTTATGCCACTTTGTACCTCATGCTGCCAATTTTCTTTTATGCCCCAACATTCTTCAGGTCTTTGATTATCTGCATGAATCTAATAATTTTGTTGGATTGGAAAAAACAATTTATTTTACTTCTGTCTCAACAATTTTTTTTTTCCACAAGGGATTGTGATGTCTTTTTATGGGATTGCAGGTATATGCATTAGTTCTTTTTTATTTTTCTTTCTTCACTTTCATATTTCTCTTCTATATTCTAAATAGAAAGTGAAAGTAAAGATTATCTTTTATCCTTGACCAGTGGATATCAGAGTCTTCTCTCCACGCGCTAGCAAAGTTCTCCGAGCCTCCTTGGAAAAGTTTTCCATTCGGAGAATTCACAAATCTGACTCGGAGCTTGAACTTTTGTTGTCTATTTGTGATACTTCTTACTACATTTGGCATGAACATAATTGAAGGAAATTTGACATTCATATCTCAAGTCTCTACAAAATCAAAAATCAAATAAAAAATATCATCAAATTCAAACTTCTTAAGTGGAGAAATGTTTTTTTTTTTTTGCATGTGGGGATAGTTTTATGATTCTCTTAATATGTTGCTTTTTTAGGATGATGATGAGCTCTGGCCCATCTATCTGATGGCTTCCTCTTGCAATCCTTGGATGGCCTCAAACAACCGGCTCCTTGGATGGTTGTTGGCAACCGGATGTGCCTTATATTAACCTGATCTATTTATGATATATTGTGGATGAATTCTTGGACACTATGAGTCTAGCTCTGATTTTTTGCTTTTGTCATTTTGTTGATTTTTTATACCTCTTTTTCTTAGGAGCTATGTTTTTTGTTATGGCTCCTCATTTATGTAACAATTTTTTTTTATCTTCAAGCTATATTTATTTGCCTCATCTCCACCTTTTGTAATTTTTGTTCCATATAATGGGAAACGACTATGACCTCAATTTACCCAAAACAAGTTGCTATAATATCTAATTATTTTGTTAAAACTAAAATGTTTTTATGTATTTCATAAATAAAAACAAGGTAAATAAATAGATAAAAGAGAGGGAAAATATCATGAAGGTGCCTAGGTGACACATCACATCATTTTGGCTCAACATTCGTAGCCATAGAAAGCAATCTATTTCTTATCAATTTGCATCTCAATGTCTTGTCTTCTCACCTCATGTCATTGGCCCAACATCTTGAAGTAATTGACTTTATAAGTTTTCCAGTACAATTATCACTTCATGTCATTTTCTTAGAATTCATATCGACAATACTAGTTAACTCTTTTTGGAATACATGTCGTTACATGCTTGTATAAGGACAATATGTGTTGTTTCTCATCTTTCTAATTTAAAATAGAATTAGTATGCATTCATACAAATTTATCCATAGGCCATCAACAGGCACAAAAAGAAAAAAAAATTCCAGACAAATAAGTACTCCCTTACTTTTCATCTGTCTTCTAATTGTCTTCTTGCGCACCCTTCTAAAAGGGGATGCAATGCACATCATCACTAGGACATCCTCCTAGAGACCCTTCTTTAATCGACATTCCTCAAAAATAATAAAGATGGGTTAGCTTCTCCTCAAGCCATTCTTAAGATTCTTATGATCGAGTATCCTATAGAATAGTTGGATATGAGCTTCAATGCCCATCTTAAGAGTTAAAAAACGTCTCTCCACCTACAAGTATATCATTGCCAACTTAACTCATCATATCACCTTGTTGATAATTCAAGTCACCCATCAAATGCATGTCCATGAAATATCTTGTCACCACCTTACCATCTTTTTTGTCGCATATACAAGTCAATAACTTCGTATGTGTTAGCTATTGATTCCACTTAGGCACACTAAAAATGTCATCACCAACGAGATTGCATTGTCAGCCTCTTTGAGACAATATCTAGATGTCTCACATTAGGATGACTTTTTTCTCCCATAGAACACCATACATTAAATGGTCACGAGATGACACCAACTCTTGGTTTCACTCACTAGCTCATCAACCACAAACTTTTGTTCAACTCGATTGCTCACTCAATACTAACATATTCTCAATCCTTCAACTCAAAATTATCATCACAATGCACCTGTATTTTCTCCATTGCTCATGCAAACCAAGGCATGCTAATTATCATTGTTCCTCATAGCAGCCAAATCAAGGTTGGCAACCAAATATGCCAAGTACTCCAAAACCAAATTGCCTTTATCAGTGCCTTGGTGCCCACCTTTTATTTTGATCATCAACTCACCCACTTGTTTAATTGAAAATTCATTATGTGATAACTTTGAATCTAATTTAGCAATATCTATGACTTAAATCGAGCAAATATGTCGAATAGAGTCCTCTTAGAAAAAAAAAATTATTATGTATGTAAATAATTTTGTGAGAATTTAAAGGCTAGAAAAGATAACCTTTAAATTATAGTAATACAAGCTGAATTTTATGTATGCATTATTGGGCCAAGCTCTACATAGTAGCATAGAAGATCTTGAGGCTGAGAAATCTCTATTAATTTATCTTTTTTCTTTTCTTTTTTTTTTTGTTGCATCTCACATATCCTCTATCTAATGCTTTATATAACAATTTGAATAATTTTTAATACTTAATCATATCAATTATTTATGACTTCATGTGGTTGTGATTGTATATTCCTTATGCACATTCTTCATTAGGCTCTCCATAAAATTGCAAAAAAGGGTAAATTAGCACTTTTTAAAAACATTTACTTTCTAAATGATTTAAAACTCTTACAAAAATATTAATGGAAGCTAAATAAAATTTTAAATTAAAATTACAAACTAAAGTACACAGCATAATGCAACTTAGATGTTGAAGAAATGATTAATTTATATGATTGAGCATATGACCAATTAAATATAATGAACTCAATAGGACAATAGGCTATTCAAATTAAATTTAATAACACCAAAGTTATAATTAAGATAATACTCATTAAAATGATTATAAAAATATATGTTCCAAGTAAGTGTAATTAAGAGTTTTAGTAAAATAACTTTCTTTGTATAATATAATAGTATGAGTTATCATGATAATCATACAAAAATAAACTCTATCACATCAATTTTTCACAAAAAAATTAATTGAATATGTAGGTAAAATAAATCCAAGAAAAATTAAATAAGTTATAATGTTTGAGACACCACAATATTTACATGATTTGATCAAATTAAATCTATGACATGTGTTTGTGCGTAACCAATATCCAAATTAAGAATTTGTTTGTGACAGCTTTCTTATTGTTTTCTAATATAAAAATTTATACTTCAAGAATTTTTAAACTAGAAAGCAGTAAAAATACCGTCCCAAACGAAGCCTAAGATTCCTACTAATTAGGACAAATTATTACGTGCAAAAACCAGATATAGAGCTGTGTCCGGTTTGTCTCTGTGAACAGTAAAAGTGTTGTGTTTATCACTGCAGTTTTACTATTTACAAAAATAAAATAGGACACAGCTGCGTCCGATCTCCGCATGTAATAATCTCTCACTAACAAGGGTTTGACTTTTAAACTCCCTTCTTAATGGCCAAGAGGGCCAAGACAAAAATAATCATACATACCCGAGATTGACCCGAAAACTGAATTGACCCGAAAATCCGAGATTGACCCGTTTTTTTACCCGATTTTGACCCGAAAATCGAATATTGACCCGAATTTGACCAGAAAATTATCAATTTTAGCTCAAATTCGGGTCATTTGTGTCGGGTCGGGTTGACCCGGATTCGAATCAGGTCGGGTTCGGGTCTGGAAACCTGACCCGTTTTTAAAAACAGGTCGGGTTCGGGTTGACCCGAACAGTGCCGGGTCAGTTTCGGGTTCTACCCGAACCCGACCCGCTGACCCTAATTGACACCCCTAAATAGTGGTTGTTGGTGGTAGTAACTGGTGGTCGTCGGCGATGTCGATGACTGGAAAATACTAGAGAGCCCTCTCTTGTTCTCCCTTTTTTTCTCCCCCTTCAAGTGAATAATGAGGGAATATTTATAAGTTTTTTGGGAATAATATGCTCCATAAACATGAAGAAAATCTAGGACAAATTAGAAGTATTCCATTCAACAGTTTGTAATAATTCCTTTGATCATAGAGCTTCCAACAAGCATTTATATGCCTTAATATATATGTCAGAATTAAGTGATCTTGAGCTCATTGGATTCATTTTGTCGAGTCGCTCGACTCGACTATAAGCATGCTAGATTTGGATATTATTTGGATATTCAATTAATTCTTTGAAGTTTTAAATGCACTTCAATCTCTTGATTTGGGCTTATTATTTCCACGTCATCGGTTTTGTCTTGTTAAGATGATCAATATGATTATAAGTTTACTGAAATCGGAGTTTGGATGATCTCGAATTTAATTTTAAAAGTTTCATATTCATATTTACATTGAGATTCTTGCCAGATGAGATAATTTTTTGGTGATATATCAATCAACAAAAGCTAAGAAATGAAAAATATATTTTCTAATTATAAAAAGAAGAACCTAAAAACTATTTATTAGGCAAACATTTCTTTAAATTCTATAATAATCTAAAAAAAACTTTTGAAAATCATAAAACAAAATCTCCCAATTAATTATATTTGCTCAACAAGCTCAAAACTATTTAACACCTTATTATTCATGGTATATAGATTTTTTTAATTAACTTTTATTATTTTATTTGTTAGGTAAATAAAGTATTTATTTTGATTAATTATACAGTAATTTAACGTAATTTATTGTGGAATAATCTTATTAATTGAGTCATTCAATCACTCATATCAATGTGACAA